TTGCGAAATGGCAAGTAAAGGTAATTTCATAGTATCGCGGTCACCCCGTTTTTAGGATCTAGATCTAGAAAATCGTCGATGATTTTTTTTAAAGTCTTCGTCTTTATGGAAAAAAATATGGAAAAATCTCACATCAAGATTTCATATAGTTTTATGACTTTAAATGTGATCATAAACGCACTTCTTGGAATAAAATTGTTCATAATTTTTTTGCAAAGCATTAAATGAAGTTTGTATTTTTTTTGTCAATCTACACAAAAAAACGAACATTTAAAAAAAGAGACATTGAAAAATGTTTGTTTATTAATTTATTATCTCACTTAAAATTTTTATATGGTTTAAATAAAATTCATCATCATTCATAATTACAGCCCTTCACAAGTCCACTGCTGAACATAGGCCTCCTCCAAGTAATGCCACAAAGCACGGTCCTGAGCCACCTGCATCCATCGACTTCCTACATGTCTTACCAGGTCGTCACTCCATCTAGTAGGGGGTCGCCCTACACTACGCCTACCGGTATGAGGCTGCCACTCGAGAAACTTTCTTCCCCATCGGTTATCGGTTCTTCGAGCTATATGGCCGGCCCATTGCCACTTCAGCTTACTAATCCGTTGGGCTATGTCGGTCACTCTGGTTTTACTGCGGATATCCTCATTTCTGAGTCTATCACGCAGTGAAACTCCGAGCATAGCCCTCTCCATAGCTCGCTGAGCGACCTTAAGCGTCCTCATACGTCCAGCAGTGAAGGACCACGTCTCAGATCCGTAAGTCATCACTGGCAACACGCACTGGTTATACACTTTAGTTTTCAGAGATTGAGGTATACCTGACGAGAAGATGTGTCGTAATTTCCCGAACGCTACCTAGCCGAGTTGAATCCGTCGATTGACCTCTCGGTCAAAGTTGGACTTACCTAGTCGGACTATTTGTCCCAGGTAAATGTACTCGTCAACAACTTCGAGCATAGTGCTCCCAACAACTACCGGAATAGGTGTGACATGGACATTAAACACGATCTTTGTGTTGTCCATGTTCATCTTCATCATCAAGACCTATCCGTTGGGAGACACCATTGAGGTCATTGACCTTAGTGCTAAGGTCCTCCAGCGATTCTGCCATAAGGACTATATCGTCGGCAAATCGAAGGTGAGTGATGTACTTGCCATTGATGTTAATACCGTATCCTTTCCAGTCCAGTAGCTTGAAAACGTCTTCCAACGCAGCGGTGAAGAGTTTCGGGGATATAACATCACCCTGTCTTACACCTCTCTGCAGTTGGATAGGTTTCGAACTCTGATTCTATACTCGGATAGCCATCGTAGCCCTACTGTACAAACACTTCAGCACTTCGATATACCGACAGTCAACTTGGCATCGCTGAAGGGACTGTAACACTGCCCAAATTTCGACGGAATCAAAGGCTTTCTCATAGTCCACGTACGCCAGGCAAAACTGCGGCTGCCAACTCGCTCGCCAAGCGTGACAACTATGGCAATATATCCCCCATATTATTATGTAGCTAAATAAGGATTGTTATTTAACCAAAAATAGACATATTTTTGATAGAACAATCGTCTTTTATCGAAGAACAAACATTAATGAATATAAAAAGACCAATAATAAGGAAAGTAATTATTAATTGGAATGGGGGGGGGGGCTAACAATAAGGTTATAAGGCAGATTTTTATTATTTTTTTTGTAAATAAATGATTGACGAACAAACAATTATTGATAGATAACAATCAAGAACAAACAAAGAACTATCTATATGTGATAACGAAATTTGAAAAATAAAAAAATAGAAAATTTCGGTGCTAACTTCAGTGAGCCAAATGTGTCCATCTGTAAGCAGTAAATAACAGAAAAACTCAAAAACTCTCCACAACAGCGCTCGAGTAGCTAGAGGGTACGAAAAATCGCCGTAAAATATGTTGAAAGTGATTTTGAAAATAAAAATTTTGAAAACAAAAAAATAATTATTATAAAAAGAATTGTGGTGAAAGTCAGTGCTAAGAAAATTATAAAAAGTTCTTTCAAATTTATGCTGTAGATACTGTGGCGTCACCCTTATTTAGCACTTTTCTACGGACACTTTTTTTATACAGAGTTTTTCTCTCTATCCCTACATTCCATAGACCTGACTGACAAGTACGCTGTCATATAAATGCCATGTCAAGCGGCTCACAGAGATGGGAACAGTATTCCATGTGCGGCCGAACATATTTTATTAACTCCTACATTTTCATAACAATTTAACCTAACCTACCATGACATAACGAAATCTGTCAAATATTTTAATTACTTATCTGTCTACGCTTATACACAGAATAAATAATAGTACTATGTACAGAAGTTTCACTCTTGTAATGTTGACTGCTTGCACACGTTTAATAGCCTACATAATTATTATTAATTAGATAAATCGCGCTCACAAGCTAAATAAAACTTTATCGCTGCGCGAGAGTGTCCGTATTACTTTGCACATTTTCCTCTTCCTACGTTACGGTGGACTTTCCCTTGTTATGGAGGATTGTCAATAAAGAGTAACAAAATACATTGCGAAATATTAATTAGGTTACTTAGGTGAAACACCTACTCTGACTATGATCGACAGGCCATATTTTCGCACCTACGTGAGTTCTGCCATGCCTAACGCATGCAACTTGCAAGGCTATTCGTCGAGAATCGCGACGCTTGGCTCGGAAGGAAAAGGTAGATAGTGTAAACAACAAATAAACTTAAAATACGATTCCTAACAGAAATGTAATCGTATTCTACTTAGTTAAAAATTTTGTTAGTAAACAAAGTTTTGATTTCAGTGTCTTGTGTTATTTTAGCTTAAAATATTTTAAGCTTAAATAACGTCTTGAAATATTTTAATACAAAAGGCAAGTATATGTACGTAAGTAGATTTTTTTTACTATATACTCACTACACAAAAACTATTTCAACAATATTTACAAACAGTTATATACGTAAACAGCGTTAAAAAGCTTTAACATTCAATCGCCTCCAACGCGCTAGCCCTGACTGCGTTATTTCGCCCGGGCGCGTCGCGATTTTAGGTAATTATTTCACGTAGGTAGCAAGAGTGATAGAGGCCTGTCTTAAGCTGAGAACAAATTATCGGACGCGGCTGACGGACGCGGCTGACAGCCGCGGCTTATTGAAATCTAGCCAGTACATTTAATACTACACTGTGCAAACTATCGGTCGTAAGATGCGGACATGACCTTGCGTCGCTCTTGAGCCTTCGGACGTCCGAACAGAATCTGGCCGGCTGGATGTTTGGTGCGTCCGCGGACAGTGTGAACGGGGTACGGGACGCGTCCGCGGACGTTTCGAGTGTCACAAGCGAACCAACTGCGCTCGCGACATGATATGTGATGAAGAGAAATTAATTGAATGTGTTCGTGGCCACGAATGCCTATATAACCACAAACTGCAGCACTATAAAAATGCTACATTAAAACAGGAAGTGTGGGAGCAAATTGCTGCTGAATTAAACACCACCGGTAAGAGCTATTTATGATAGTTTTTGCGATTGTTACACATTTAAATTAAATTATTTATAAGTTTATTCCTACGGTTTTATCGCGTTTATTACATTATTTTTACACTTAATATTTCGAATACCGTAGAATCCGGTTATAACTACGGCCAAGGGACCGGTGATAAGTCGTATTAAACGAACAGCCAATTTTTGTTTTTTATTAATCACATACAAAATGTATTTTATTAATATTTAAGTGACTAGCAGATAATTTAAATCAAAATATTTATTTAAAAAAATAAAAAAATAAAATAAAATTAGAATGCACAAATATATTTAGCACTTTTGCAGCTTCTTAGAACTACAGATACAAATATATATTGCCGAAAAATAAACATTCGCATTCCAATCAGCGATGTGCTGGCAAGGGGGGGGGTGCGAGGGGCGGAGAACGCTTTCAATTTGTATTTTATAAACACGTCAACGCTTGTCGTTTTAATTGCACTAAACAATATAATTTAATATGATATATATTTTTTGTGAGATACATTGTGTTTTCACGCGATGACCAAGTCAATCTATTTATTTAAAACATAAAATATTTTTAATAAAGATATGGTCAATATAAGATGTTGTTAGGTTAGCTAATTATGTAATAACTTAAAACAGAAGGACCCATAAGTAGGGACTGAATAAACTAACCGACTTGGTATTACATGGATCTCACAACTTTTTACGTTAGAACTGGGTTGCGAGACTTGTTTTTTTTACAAGTTATGTTTTAGATGGCATATGTTATAAGCTTATAAGTAAATTATCTAGGTATTTGAAACGTTATGTGTAAAAATAATGTAATAAACGTGATGAAACCGCAATAAGTAATTTAAATTATGAGAGCTATTAAGACTATTTTAATAACTATTTTGATTTATAAGAGCTATTATGGCTATTTTTAATCGAACTCTCGACCTCCGCGTGTGAACCGAACGCTCTAACCACTACACGACGGAGGCATGTGCTTCATGTGTTAGTGTAGCGACAGACCTCCGTCAACATAGATACCAAAAACGGTCAAGTACGGCACCGAATGTGCGACTGCAGTATTTTTCGAGAATCTATGAACGCGACGTAATTTTTAGGGAATTGACAGCGTTGGTGAAACAGAACACCTTTCCTTAAAACTATTGTAAATAAATAAATATTGTACATAGTTTGAATATTGCTTAAAATAAGTTAAGTAATTAATGAACGAATAAAGTGTATAGTAAAAAAAAACATAGGTTGAACAAGGAAAAATGAATTTTGTTCTTTCATACAAAAGTCGATGTCGAACGCAAGTGTGTCGCTACACTTACCAACTATTCTTACTACTTAATATAACTAGACTACACCTAACTTTTTCTAGGTGCAGATGGATCTGTTTAGGTACTAGGAAATTATTATCGCAATCAGGCACATCAGGCACAAAAATAATAAAACTGTATTAATTATATTTCATATTTATTTATTGATTTTCCCAAGGCAAACTTCCATTTTCGGAACTAAAGTAATCACAAAACTTGTCTCGAATAACAAATGCTGCTCGAGTAGAATTATTACGTATACCTTCAAATGATATAAAGTTATCTGGTACACCATTTGGTAGATCTTGCAAAAAGATGTTGTCGTCTTCGTCGTTCCGTAGCATGTTGTGTAAGCAACAACAGCATAAAATGATGTTATCGACAATTTCTGGTTGCACTTCAATATCTGTATGGAATATCCGCCATCTTGCTGCCAAAATTCCAAATGCGTTTTCGACTGTCCTCCTTGCACGTGATAATCTATAATTGAAATTCTTTTTATTTGCGTTATTAGAAACAGCTTCTTTACTGTATGGTCTCATTAAATATGGTTTTAATGGAAACGCTTGGTCTCCTATAATGACATGTGGCATGGGTTCACCGCCATTTTCCAATGGTGTATCTGCTGGTATATCTGCAGTGTTAGTCGCCAATAAATTTCCCAGTTTTGACTCAGCAAACACACCACCGTCACTGTTACGTCCGAAGGCCCCAACATCAACTGCAATGCAAAAACAAAGATAACAACACACAGCAGAGAAAACGGGAAAATAACAATAATTATCAGGAACAAATCTTAAATGTAATAAAAGCAAGAAATAAGAGTAAATCAGAAAAAGACGACATCGATTTATTCTTTGAAACGATGGCGAAAACAGTGAAGAAGTTCCCTAAAATAGAGCAAGTTAAATTAAAATTTGACATAATGAAACTCGTCCATGAAAAAGAAATAAGGTGGCTGGATTCTCTGACAGAATCTTCTGCTTCTTCAAGTACTATGTCAGAAATATCATCACCATCACCTCAACCGTTCATTCACCGCATGTCTTCTCCTTACTTAAGAGAAAAATCTACCTCACCTTCGTACTGACGTCAATCTTCATCCTCACCTCAGAGCACTCATAGATCACCTTCTCCTCTCACTCAACAAATTTCTTCTCCTGTGTTTTTACCGTCTCCCCAGAACACTTACCAATCACCTCCTTTCACTAGAAAATCTGCCTCACCTTCTTACGTCCTGCAGTCTTCACCCTCACTACAGAACATCCACCAGTCACCTCTATTTATTCGCCAGTCTGCCTTACCTTTAAACGTAGAACAGTCTTCATCCTTACCTCAAAACACCCCCCAATCAACTTCTTTTACTCGACAATCTCAGTCTTCACCGACTGCTCCGAGCACCCATAAATCACTTCCCACTCAACAGTTTTGCTTGCCTCTGTCCTCTAACATCAGATATAATGTATGAAATTCACCATATTTGAGTCGTTTCATATGTATTAATATCATGGATCCAAACACTCCTTTTCACTTTTTTTTTTGGAGGACTACATAAAGCAGCTGCCGCTAACTCTATAAATTCGTCCTCGCTGTCGCTACTTGTCATGTTTCTCGATTGACAAACCTTTATGGAATGACCGAAGCGAGGCGTCCGAGGACGCCGTCTCATCTACCGTGCACACCGCTAAGCCGCGACTGTCAGCCGCGGCTGACGGACGCGTCCGATAATTTGTTCTCAGCTTTATAGGTGATGTTATAGAATATTTAAATATCGGAATTTGAAAATAAGCGCTGGCAGCATTGTCAAATTGTCATTTTTATTATGACGTTTACCTTTTTTTCTTAGAAAAAGTGAGCAAGTGACGATTAGGAGTGTTTATTTGGTACATTATCACTTATCGGTAACTTATTTGAAATATGGCTGCTGAAATAAAGCCTGCGCCCAGAACCCCAAACGATAGATTTTCTACAACCAAAAAGCCAGCACTTTTAAGCAAACTAGAAGGTTGCACCGACGATGTTAATGCTGCAGTCGTGATACCTGGCGAAGATGGAGTTATAAGTGTTTGTGACGATAAGTAAGTGTATTTTCTAACTGTTTTGTATAATTTGCATTTGTAATTATTTGACGTATTTATCGCAAAATATGTACCTCAAGAAAATGTAAAGTTTGTACCCTCTGAAACCTACTTTTTTCAGCCGGTTCCTCTGAGTATATCTGTGATGAAGAATGATATTTTGTTATGTTCGGTTGACTACACTATTTGTTTTTGTATCTCTTATATATAAATGAAAGTATAAAGTATGCATATCTTAGAGATATTGACAATTTTCTTGCAAGAAATGTTTGCCATTTGGCACAATATTCTTTTTGTTGTTAAAATGGTTATTGGCGTAGCAATAGACGCTGACAGTATTTACTAACAAAGGAGTTACTAAATAGTAACTCCTTTGTTTTGTTACTTCTTTTATAAATAAAAAGGTTTTGTTATTTATTATATATTATATTTTGCAGACAATCTCGAATGTTAATTTTTTTTATCAAAATTTATGCATTTCTACTTATTCTGTTTATCTATCCTCAGAAAGATATACGAATATCCACCCTGGGTAAGCAAGGTGATCACCCGGGGTGGATATTCGGAAATGGGTATTAGTTTATCCACCCTAGATGGGGTGGGTAATCAGAATTCACTTTCTGATTATTGTTCTGTCTTTCCATCCCAAGTACAGTTCAACAGGAAATATATTCATACCCTAACATATTACTGATAAATTTTTAATAGGCACAAACTTAAACAAAAATCATATTACATATTGCATTTAAACCAAATTAAACTTTCTTATTTTAAATAATATTAATAAATTTATAAATTCTGCAATATGTCCAGGAAATTACCAACACTAATTTCATTATTGAGTAGATGTATATCCTGTATAAATATGTTTGTCAATAAAAGACATTTTAAAATTTGTACTATTCTCTTTCCAATACTGTGTATATTTATTTTATTTACATGCCTACTTCAATAAAATATAATTGAAATTAATTGCAGTAAAACAATTCTTTCATCATAAAATATCTCCAAAATGACGTAAATTATGTCTGTACATTTATAATTATGTATGTACATTGAATGATATGTAATTGAACAATCAAAGTATTTCAGTTTTGACCTTTAAACAAGAAGAATGTAATTAGTAATAAACCGCAACAAGAAGAATGTATGTATTTTTATGAGTAGGTAGTCTAATATCTACTAAGTAATATTGGGCCAGTTTCTATCATGTTTTTATAAACTACTGTACACAGCTGAGGGGGAAAATTGGAAGAAAAATAATATACTAATTCCAATTATCCACCCCGTCTCGAATGGATAATCAAACATGCAATTCTGATTGCATGTTTGATTATCCATTATAGAGGGTATCCCTCTATGAGGGTTTCTATGAGATTTCTTAGGGTGGATAAATGGAAAAACCCATTTCCACATATTAGAACTTAGGAACCCCTCTTCCTTCCCTCGTCCCTTATATAATGCCCTTACTCCTCTGCGGGGTTCCATTTTAAAGTGATTTTAATAATTTTTATAAAATGTTGATTTATTTCAAGGCCAGGTTGGACAAAAATATTAAATTTTAGACTCAATTTTGTCACTTGAGAATTGTTTCTACTTAATGATTTACACTTGCGCTGAAACGAGAGTGAGTTTTAATTTTAGAAAATTCTGGCGCCAAATTGTTTACTTTTTGCGAACGCAACCGGCATCGAACGACCATGCGAGTGTTTCGCATACGCTAACAAAATCGCGGGGCTGGGGTGGGCAATCAGTGTCTTGTGAGCCTAGATGAAAGATGGCGGCGTTTTTAGACTCTTACAGCGTCACGGGTAAGTACTTGTTGCTCATTTTATTTGTTTACTAACATAGAGTGTTTCTATGTAAATTACAAGTTAAAATAACATTAAATAAGTGAGGTATTTTAGTTTGATAGATATCATTGTAATTTTGACACAATTTAGTCGTAAAGTTTGACTGCTACGACCGTGAGGCTTCTGTTGTGCATGCGAGAAATAAATTCAAATCATGTCAACCGTTATTTGTTTATTTTCGCCTGAATTTCTTTAAAATTTATGTTTTATATTGTTTTTAGGTCTTGGGCGATGGAAACCTTTCTGAAATTGAGTATCTTGATGAAGATGATGACAATTTTCAACACAATGTCCTGGAAGACCTCAATTTTGAAATATTCTCTGGCATAGAAACCGAAGAAGAACTTGAGCTGAATCCCGAGCCAAACACTCGCCCTGACACTCTCGTACCTTCAACAGTTGAACGCCGCCAAATAACTATGCGTCTAGCTCCTCGCAAGCAGGTGTGGAAACAGGTACCTTTCCAAAATTCGTCTCATGACTATCCTTCGCTGCCAGTATCTACTATGAGGACCCCTATGGAATATTTTTCTGAGTACAGTGGACCCCCGGTAATCCGACAAACATTTTGCAGGGCAGTGTCGGACTATCGAATTTGTCGGATTATAGAGTACTGCCTAAGACCCCCTACAGTCCGGAATTTTTTACAAAAGAGTACCTTGTAATCCGACAAATTACAGATCCAATGATAAGATTCTATATGTTATATATATGTACTCTGAAGTACAAATCATACTTCATTTTTTATGTCAAATTTAGTAAAATAAATAACACAATAAAGAGCTTACGTTTTATTATGAAATTAACGTCTTTAAAGCTAGTGAAAATCGTCAAAAAAATATTTAATAATAAATAATAGACCATGTCGGATTACAGGCTGTGCCGGATTAGACGGGATGGATTACCGGGGGTCCACTGTACTTTGACAAAGATTTTTTGAAGAAATATCTAGGTGCACAAATTTGTATCATCTCAGGAAAACGGGCTGCAAACTTAAAACTACTGCAGCCGATATAGCCAATGTGTACCATTATCAGTGGATGTATTCTTTACCCTCGTATCCCAATGTACTGGAGAGCAAGATTGAGATTGGAGGTTATTAGTAAGCAAATACCTCATGACCAATTTTTAACTATCCGTAATGCACTGCACGTTGTTGATTCAGGCGAAGCTCCACCAAGTGAAAGAACCAATCCATTGTGTAAGGTATAGTCGATGATAAACAAAGTAAAAGCTACTTGACTTGTGATGGCTGTATCGCAATGATTGCCAAGCCAATAATTTAAGCAGGAAAGACATTTTGCCCTTGTTAGATTTTCGCCTCAATATAACTGACGGATTATCTTGTATTCCACCCAAAGTACGTCGAATGTCAAGTGATACCGAAAATCCGGCAGTGGAAAATGATTTTCCAATTCTCTCTCACATGGTAGAGCCATGCTGCTGTTATATTAGTACAGTTGTAGCATGAATAGATCGGCTCGACCGGGGAAGGACCACGCTCTCACAGAATACCAGCGTCAAATAGTAGCGTCAAATAGCTTAATGCTGCAGTGTTTCGTATGGTGAGTGTAGAGAACTGGAGACCCTTTTTACTGGGAACGAGGCATTCCACCTAAGTCCTCATGTATGACAATGCATCTGCATTTTGATTCGTAATCAAGGATAGATGTAGATGTCTATGGGCCACAGCAACCACTTACCATCAGGTGAGCTGTGGGCTCGTTTGTCATCCTATTCTATAAAAAAAAATTGAAGACATTACAAACCGGCAAATAAACCCTCTGAGGCAAAAAGATATGATGGTTACGATCATTTTCCAGTGTTTGATGAAATTAAAGCCCCAAGGATGTGTCGGCATGAAACTTGTGGTAGCCGCACGAAGACACGATGCGAAAAATGTGATACTTATTTGTGCATCTCACATGGAAAATACTGTTTTAAATCATGTTACCAAAAGCCATAACTTTGAAATTTACTTATTGTTTTTAAAATTATATAACTTTGCTGGGTTTTAGAAGGTTTCTTGTTTTGTTGCAAATTGTGAAGAAAAATTATGGTCTTTGTTATCAATGTTGATTTTTTAAGAATTAGGGATTAGGTAGTAAGTTTTATAATGTGGACTGATACTGGAATGACTGATTAAAGTACTAAGTTCT